GTGCCTCCCGTCCCCCCCCCTCTCCTGTGGCAGCGCGGGGTGAATGGTCCCTGCAGCGGGGCAGCCTCCTCCTTTGAAGTGTGGAGCTGGTGCCTCCGCTCCCCCACACATGCTCGGGAGAGCACGGCACAAGGAAGGTAAAAAGCAGCCCCGTGGCTGGCTCCAAAGCATAAGTGGTTTTGTTTAAAAAAAAAATAATAATAAAACGACTTTGCTCAGCCCATTTTTACCAAAATGCTTATAAAGCCCACCCTGGGGTTTTTCTAAGGTAAGAATGTCTGCAGCATAAAAAACTTGCTGAAAGAGGAAACTCTGTGACAAACACGTGTTTCTGTAAGGGACTACACTGAAGCCCTAAAACCAAAATCTTCCAGTTTTTCATACAATAGCTACAATCTCGTCTAGAAAACGCAGAACAGTATTTTAAAACGTCTGGAGAGGATGAGGCGCGCAGGAGGGAAACGGCGGCGTGCAGGCAAGAGCTGGACAGAAAGGGTGGAAGAAAACAAGGCGAGGCCGGCTCTCTGGAGGTCACCTCGCCTGTCCCCCCGCCGGGAGCCAGGACCGGGCCACATCAGCTCTGCCTGGGCGAGGAGGTTACGCTGCGAAAGGAGTCGGTAATGGCCTTTGCAGTTCGCAGCAGCAGCGGGAGCGTGCGCACGCGCCTGCACACCCGCACGCGTCCCCGGCCTCCCTCCTTCCCTCCCGTCACCTCTGCGGGGCCCAGAGCGTTCCTGGTCAGAGCAGGGCTGCACAGGATAGTAACGCTGGAGTTATTTAAATCAGGGCTGTTTGTTCGCAGATAATACGATTGATTTCCTAACCCAGCGCTGAGACAGAGTAAAAAAGAAACCACAGTGAAATGCAAAGAAGCCTTCTGCCCACTATTGTTCTGCAAAAGCAGCAAGCACCCATCCTCTGCCTCGCGGAATAAGGAAATTGGGCTTTTCCTCTCTGATCTGTTGTTACACCTTTTGGGATCTACAGAAAAAGGGTTGTTTTGTACACAAGCGCGTATAGTAATTATGAAATACAGAGGAATCTCGGTATCGCACTCTGCCCGAATCTCAGCTGTTGTACACACAAAAATAGGTGTTTCGTTACTCCTCAGCGCGGCTCTCACAACAGCACGCCGTCTGCGGGTTTTGTGTTAGGGTGCTACGGCATCGGCGGTTTTGCCAAGAATACGGGGCCGGCAGGGACAGCACGCCGCGGCCTCACGCTGCCAGCTGCCGCCAAAGTGCTCGGAAGCATGTAAAAACCCCCAAGATCAATGAGGCACCAATCTAGTAGTAGTAGTAGTATTTTCTTACTGGCAAAACCACACAAAAAACTAGTCAACTGTCCAATCCTGAGGGCAAATTAACAACGCTGAATAATGATAATAATAATAAAAATCATTATATCTACAACCTATTGGTCATTAAGTGTACCTGATTTGCAATAAAAGGAGAAGAAAAGGTTCAACGCTAGGGAAATGTTAGAGCAATAGTTAAAAACAGGATGAAACTGTGAATAGCAGGATAAAGTAGTACAATATTTTATGCAAATGAAAAAACTGTTTCCTGATTTGAGGAGGGTATTTTAATTTTAAACTCTGGGTTTCACTTACTGAATAAGCTTGGGCTATTTTTCAATTCTACCTAATTTTGCATGGGGCTGTGTGGTCCATCAGCGCACCGGTCGTGGCCCGGAGGAGCGAGGAGGCTCGTCTGCTGTTAGAGACTGCAAATTGATTTTTGCCCTTCAAGAGGGAAAAAAGAGAGCCCAGCCCTGAGCTCGCGTCCCCGGCATGGCATTTTGATTAAATTAGAGATGCATTAACGTGAGCGTTTCTGGTCCGTGATGAGGGCAGATAAAGTGACCTTGACGCACGGAGCCATTTTCTGAGCGGCGCGAGCGACAGCAAGGACAGCCGCCCTGGGATGCTGGAGGGGAGGAGCAGCGCCGCGCCACCGGCCTGTTGCCGAGACGGTTGATACTGCAAACATTAAGGGACAAACACCGGTTTTAATTGTTTATTTTAACTCCTCATGCAAAGCCAGCGCAGGTCGGGTGCTTTGAAAATAGCACTGTTATCCTTCCTGTGCTGCTTCAGGGGAATTTTAGTCCCAGCAAGATGAAAGGACCAGTGTAGCTCCTGTGACAGTGAATGGCAATTGCAGCTCTGCCCGGATTTGTTCCCAAAAGTGTGATTTCGGTCTCACTTGGATGTGCGTTGATGCCTTTCCTTTGACACCGACGGAGTCACTCTGTGAAACAAGGTGAACGCCAGGCCGAATCGAGATCGCCTGTGCTGCCTCCGCTCCCGTCCCAGTTCTGCAGCTCTCGGGAGGTTTCCTGTGCTCCAGATCTGCTTATTCCTCCCTGCCCGATCCAGGGCATTAGACGCAGCGTATGTTGCTTCAGCCTGCAAACAGGCAGCTGCAGCAGCCCCGCTTCCCCCTGCCCGGCGCAGGCAGGGGTTCCTGCCCTGCCCGAGGGGCTCCAGGACGGACTCGGTACAGGGACATCTCAACACGGACCACAGGGCTGAAACCAGCGCTGGGGAGTAGCCCAGCAGGTAACTCGCCTGGCGGATTTCACAGGTTGTTACGGCTGTTAATTAAGCAATGAAACATAATGCTGGTGATTTATGTCACTAGAGCAAACCTTCCTGCAGCAGTGGCTGGCACCAACGTAGCCCCCTGGCCGGAGGGTCCCAAAGCACTCGATGCCCAGGAAAGAGAACGCAGAGTTGACTTTGCGCCGTTCCTGCCGGTGGGCCGGGTGCCCAAATACCCCTGGGCGAGTTCTAGAGCCGAGCATCATCGTTTGTTTTCTCTGGCCGAAGCCCATTTTCAATCACCTGTAGCTGTCTGTGAGCAGGGACTGTGGCTGCGGTGACCTAATATGGTGAAAGCGCTGGCGCTTCGTCAAGGACCACAAACAGCCGTGCTGAACTGCGCGCTCTTCAAGGCGGAGCCTGTGTCTTCATACATGTAGGCTGCGGTGTGCAATCGTCGTTAAATAGTAAATCACAAGAGGCTGGAGGGATCTCGGGGATCGTCTTGTCTGCCGAATCAAGCAACCTCACGCCTGACAGATGTTTTGCCTCACCCATTTTTTAAAAGCTCCAGTGACAGAGATTATGGTACCAAACATCATATAAATGAAAATACTTATTTCCTGAAAGAGTCCCCCTTCCAGCAGCGCACCAGCATTTAGTGCCACATCGAAATATGTTTAGGGAGCACCGATACGAGATGTGCTGAACGCCTGCCCGCCTGCCCTTGCCTTCATCGTGGTTCCCACATCTGTACAAGCCTCTCTCTTGCCTCCAAGGGAGTTTTGCCTCGGGTGCGTCCTGCAGCCGAGCAGCCCTTCCTGCAGCGCTGAGGGTTTCTTTGGGGGGGTCCCCACTGAACAACACTTATTGTCTGCGTTTGT